TCTCGGCGGGTTAAATAGGGCGCCGATTTAGTTAGTTGGTCTGTGCGGCGCGACTAACATAGGTTTGAAGCTTAATTTAACGTCTAATTTATCCTTGGGCGATAGCTAGGGCGCCACACTTTTGATAATGGGTGCAGAACACAGGTGTAAACGAAGGCATGTCCATTCAAGAAATCGGAAATTCGATAAGGAGCTATAGGGGAGTTACGTCTCTACTCTCGGGATCTGGTCATTGTAGATTCGCTCAGCCAACTACGGGTATGCGATTCAATGGTTCTGAAATTGGAGACACCCATGTGATTGACGCTACTAGCTTGCGATATCCACTGCTGCTCTAGCCATGATAAATATACCAGTTGCCTACCGCATTACCCCAGGAAGTCAGTCTTCTCTCCCTCCCTCACCACTGGTTCCCACATCTGACAATGTTCCAATTATTACCCTGGGGCGTTATCCTAATCCTCCTGACACCCTCCGCCAGATACACTGCCAGCGGACAATCAATCCACTACCCCGCGCGCGTCCCTCCAATCCGCCCATAACCTCCTGAAGCGGCTACTCAGCCCACATCGAAACCCACCGCTCCTCTCTCACCGGCGACCTCCACCTCATCACCCCGGGCTGCGGTATCCACGGTGACATTTCCCGCCTACGCCTGACAGTCAGCTACGACAGCCCAACCCGAATCCGGGTAAAAATCACCAATGCGGGCGAGTTCCGCTCCCAACGCCAAACCTCGCCTTCCGCCACCCCGGCAGCGAAATCGTGAATGCTACGAGCGCGGATATCCAATTTAACCTAACTTCCACGAAGCCATTCTCATTCTCGATATTTCGGAGGGGAAGCGGTGAAGTACTGTTCGATACTACGCCCCATCCGTTGGTTCTCCAGGAGCAATTCTTGCATATTGCTACCGCATTGCCGGACCAGGCGAAGATTTACGGACTCGCGGAACATGGTGATGGCTTCCGGCTTCCGCTGAATATCACACGGACGCTGTAGGGTAAAGACGCTTATGGAACCCCACCAGGGGCGAATCCGCACAGCCCCCACCTAGTGTATTTTGAGCATCGGGGCACATGGACTCATGGAGTTGTTCTTGTAAACTTGAATGGGATGGACGTTAAGCTTGAAGAACGGAGGTTGGGGCATTACCTTCTTGGAGGTATGCTAAATTTCTACTTTTTCGATGGCGGCGCGGAGGAGTATGCGGAGATCGCCGGGAAGCCGGAGATGCCGCCGGATTGGGGGCTGTGATTGCACCAGTCCAGATATCGGTATTCCGGGTGAGGGGATGTAGCAGAAGTCGTTGCGAATTATAGCTCTGCGGGGATCCTGTTGAAGATTGAGGGTGATGAGGTACTTTCCCTCTGCTAAAATAGCGCAATAGTTAGTTAGAACTTGGGATAGTTATTTGGTTGTAATTGCGACACTCTTCCGACTATTATAGTCACATCATTTCTATTTTCAGATAACTTAGCTTTTGCATATACTTTCCTTTTATGAGTTTTATTTATAACAAGTGATGGACATGAGTGTCGTTGATTGTTAGAGTGTATCACAGTTACGTTCAGGTTTTCACATCTTTCAGTCATAACTGTTTCTCGTTTCTGTGTATTTAAACACCGGGATATCGCACATAGTTCAAAAGAATAACAAGGATTACTCTTCGCTACGCTCTTTACCTATCTTAACCACTCTCTTTTCTACGCCCTGGTAATCATCTCAAAGTTGTTTCTCCATCGAGTTTTACCGCTCTTGCTGTTCTTCCAGTCAGCCGCACGCACCATTATCGATCAGATCCCACTTGAGGCCGTTTGTCCCCTTGCGCTATAGGGTTGTGCAAGGGCTGACGAAAAGTAGATGTGGACAGACATAGACTACATGAACGCCCGGCGCATCTCCGTGCTCGATAGCGAGCGCTTCCCACTTTTGAAAATGCAGGGGATTGTCAAGACGCTCCACCGAAATAACCAGAAATATATAATGATGGTTGATCTGGCGATCGCATATCAAGATTATTCTACCTGCAATCGGGCGAAAGAAACTGGTGTCCTGTTAATGGATCCTGATAATGCTATTCATAAACGAGTGGTGTGGGCTGGTGTCACTGCGTTCGTGGATTGGTTCCATCCCCGCATGAACGAATTCTGGCGAGGGGAGTTTGGGAGGTTCTTTGATGTGGAGGAGGGGGTGGACGAGGATGGGGTTTGGATCGACATGAATGAGCGGGCAAACGTTTGTTCTTCACTTTTCTTCCTTCACATGCCGGAAATACGTGGGGAATGGATGCTGATGTGGGAAATCTTTTGCTACTTCCCGTGCACCAATCCCGAGCAACAGGCCATTGTGGCAAACCTGCCGCCTATCCGGAATCCGGTCCGAGAGCCGGCTGAGCCAATCCGCGGGTTTGAAGACATCACCAGGAGGAATGCTAAAGTTGGTGTGAATTACATAAACCCTTCTTACAAAATCGGAGATACAAGTCCTCAAGGCCTCGGTGTCAAAACCGTACACACCGATATCAGGCATTACAACGGGATGTTAGAATATGGCGTGCATAATCTCTTCGGAACGTGTGAGCTTCTTTCCCAGGATAGCCTAGGCTAGGGTTGACTAAGGAAACGAGTGATGAGGGATGCGATGCTGCATCGGCGGCCGGGGAAGAGGCCTTTCATTATTACCCGGAGCACGTTTTTGGGTTCTGGGACTAAGGTTTTACCTCTCCCCCTCTAGCTAATACTATACTAACGCGCCAATCTAGGTCGGTAAATGGCTAGGCGACAACCTTTCAACCTGGGACCACTAGTACCCGCCCCTCCCTCCCTCTCGTTCTTAAAACCCTACTAAACCTCCTAACCGCCCCTTAATCTTAGGCATGCTAACCCTAACCCTCCTCCAAATCCCGCTCGTGGGCTCCGATATCTGCGGCTTCGGGGGCAGCACAACCCCCCACCTCTGCGCGCCCTGGGCCATGCTCGATGCCTTCAACCCCTTCTTCTGAAACAACAACGGGGAAACATCACCTCCGCAGGAATTCTGCTACCACCCCCTCGTCGCCGACGCTGCCAGGGAGGCACTTTTTCTGCGTTTTCGACTTCCGGATTATACACGGCGTCCTTCCACGCACATACTTTGGGTAGACCAGTGCTGAGTGGGGTCTGGATGGGATGCCCGCAGGAGCCTACGGGATGGGGCATTGATTACGAGTTCCTATTCGGAAGCGCATTACTCATCGCCCCGGTATTGGAAGAAGGTGGGGAGGCAAGTGTTTACCTACCCAACGAAACATTCTACACCTTGCCGGAGGGAAATATGATCACTCGCAATTCCGCGGAGGTCAAAATGAACGACATCCCATCCACGCAAATACCTATCTTCCTCCGAGCAGGGAGTATCCTCCCTTTAAGAATGTTTGAAAAGGCTCTGTCATGACGACGACGGGAGTTCGTGAGTGTTGATTTGAATTACTAATTGCGGTTGGCGAGAATGGAAGCGCAGAGGGGGAGTTGTATGTTGATGATGGGGAAAGGCTTGTTCAGGAGGGTGTGCTGAATGTAAGGTTTATTCCTGAGAACAGGGTTGTGCGGGCGTTTAGAGAGCGGGGTGGAAGGAGGGGTTGTTGCCAGGATTATGGTTTGGGGGTTGGACGGGGTGGGTGGGGAGAAGGTCCTGCATGGGAGGTAGGATTCAGAGGAGGGGCTTAACGTTCAGTTATGATAGCGGGGGAGTAAAGGGGGCGGGGAGGGTGAGCTTGCTCTCAGATTTTGACATAGGGTAGATGACTTTCCGGTAATGAAGACTGGCAGGAAGCCGCGTTGAGTAACTTCGCGTGACATTTTTTTTACCCGGCATACGGCACGTCAAGTAAGAGTACATTATCGTTCAAGCAAATACCTACCTCCCCGGCCGATAAATAGATACATTAAAAGAATCCTCCTTCACCACAGCAAATTGAACCGAGAACCTCCACCCAGACGCTGCTCATCATGTCCCCGTGACTTACGAACCCTACTAGAGTAACATACCAGGTATTCTAATTCACCGGCTCTAGATTTCCCAATGGTCATAATACATCCCACCCACCCTTATTGCTTCCTCCCTTGCCAAATAACCCCAGCACCCAAGCCGCCAAATTCAAGACTCTTCCGTTTCGGCAGTGACACACCAAAAAAAAAAAAGCACACCTTCAATCCCGCGACACGAGTACATACCCCGAAAACCACCGTAATGTACCAAACATTGTGCCAAAGTACAAAACGAGTATCACTCCATAACCCAACAACCCCCCGTCCATCATCACAACACCACCGTATTACTCTCACCAACTCCCGAAGCATAATAACCCCAACCCCACCAAGCAAAAGCCGAGTAACGGATAATTTATGCATAGTACCTCCTCTAGCTCGACCAACACGGGGAGTAAAAGCTATACAATCACAAATCCAGTTAGTACAAAGTCTCCAGGAACTTTCAACATCCTGGGAGAAAAGAGGGGTTTGCTTTCAATGGATTCGTAACTTATGGGAAGAATCATGCATTTATGACTTGCCCGATCTAAGCTAATACTCACTAGCGGAGAGATATCTTCACTGACTAACTAACTGTCAAAATAGCTCCATCTCTGAAATCATAGAATGCTAAAAGATCATGAAAGATATGAGCCTAGGGGTGAAGCGACATGAAGTGAGCTGGATGAATACTAGAGATGGCCAAAAGGGGTTGATACGCCAATCACTGGGAGCCTGCATAAAACCTTCTCCGCCACTGGCGCTGCAACTGGAGTAACTATAAGGCAGGCCGGTAATGGGGGATTTCGGGGGAGCGTTCTTCTTCTGTCCTGACATTCATACCGATGGTGCGGTCTAAATTCTTCTGGTATCAGGTGCTAGTCTATCTGTGAGGATATCCACCATGCGCACACTGTTAATATCAAACGACGGGTGTTTGGGAATCGGAGTGCGCCGTTATATAAATACCATTGATTTTGAAATTATAAAGGGCGCATGGTGTAGCGGTATCACATCTCATTTGCAATGATTTGATCATAACTTGAGAAGGTCCTGGGTTGAGTCCCAGCGGGTCCACTAATTGTTTTTTATTTCTTTCATCTTTCCAGGTGAGCGAAAGACAGATGCGGGGGTTCTATTCTAGGTTCTGCCCAGACATTGCTCCTCATTGTAAACGAGGGGAGTAAGAGTATCATTATAGTACACAACTTTCTGGTAATAAATACTAAGGCCGAAGAGACCACTCCGGGTAACTACCTTCCGCTTTCCAAAGCGTCCTCAATACCGTGCTCTTGATAGGTTTTCCACCCTGTCTCCCACCACCATTTAACCTCCAAGTCAAACCCCTTGGTGCAATTCACGAACCAAGGCTCCATATCCCCCTCATTGCTTTGCAGATTTCTACATAAACACAATTAGTACCCTTCTCCCGCAGATCATTATTGGACTTACACCATCAAAACATAATGATCACTCTTCGGACACGCCATCCACGCCTTATCCCGTCTCTCGCCCCAGTCGAGAACATCCCTCTTCCTCATACGACTATCCGGCCGTACATAGTCTCGCTGACCAATCCACCATCCATCACTCAACTTCTCATTAATTTTATCCAGCTCATCCGTAAACTTGAAGGCGTAGATATCCTGTTGCCTAAACCTTTTAAAAACAAATGGTGATAGGAAACTAGTACCATATCCTCGTCAGTACCACCCATCAAGGGGTGATTAAAAGGGACAGAAACTAACACAGGCCACTGCCTCCCCTTATCGTAGAGGCCATAGCTCATATCCACCCAACTACCCTCAGCATATATTTTCAACTCATCCTTTTTCCCGTATTCCCCCTGCGCATAGAAAATTGCTTCCGGCTCATCGGATACGAACCACCCCAATGTACCTAATCCTTCCTTTCCTGTACCATCAAGACGGCCTTGTACTCCGCGAAAATGGGAGAATTCAGGAGGACAGGTGCGTTCGCCGATGACGAGGGTGAAGCGGCGCCAGCTGTTTAGCATGGTTGCAGTGCGAACGGGTTGTTCGGCAAAGCCGGTCCATTTTGTCGGGCCGCGCTTTTGAACGGGGAGGGGGAGAGGGAGGGGGGTGGGGCCCCAGGTATGGTAGAAAGTGTATCCAAGGGGCTCGCCGACAGGCTCTTGGAAGGAGGTGGGGGAGAGGGTGGTGGTGGGGGTCTCGGGGAGGGTTGAGTGTTCAAAGGGGGTGTTTTCAAAGTTTCTTGCAGCGGAGATGGAGGTGGAAAAGGCGGAGGTGGTGCAAACCAGTAGCTGAAGCAATAGAAATTTCATTTTGTAACAAACCGGCTGGGGGATATTCATGGGGATAAAGCAATTCTGGGGAGGAAAAGGGGATAACATGAGAAGAAGAAGAAGTCTTTTTAAATAGCTACTTGCCCCAGCTTGTACGCCCTCGCAGGCCGAACGTCGGCGCTGAGGTAGGCGTATCCATAAACAGGCCTACGACACGCGTAAAGAGGCCCCCAACAAAGTTTTACTCCTTCGTTATCACCATGTATGGTGTTCATGACGAGCTGAGTGAGCTTTTAGAATGATAGGTTCTAGCCTGTATTAGTTAGCGATCACCGCATCTCACTCGTTTACCATTTCCTGCTGGTTGTTGAAAACAGTGGTTGAACGGTGGTAGTTGTTGTTGCTGGATGTACCAGTGTGGGAGTGCTGTAACCTGTGTTTCCATTCTATCTAGCCCGGGGTTATAACGCCCCGTTTCTACGAACTTAATCATAATCTAGCTAAGCCGGCATGAGATACTCCCCCCAGCCAAGGGCCCCCTGAAAGAAATCCACCTCCTGGCCACCTGCCACAAAACAAACATTAATGGCCCTCTCGCCGTCCCGCAAACCTCCCAACACAAAAGAAACCCTCCCCGGCAGCCAGCCAAAGCCGCCGCCACCTCCAAAAGTTAACCGAAAAAAAGCCCCAATTACTGCATAGTTGTAGAAACTCCCCCCAACCCTGGTGGTTTTCCGTCGTGACCGCTGGGACTCCTGGGCAAAACCCAAGTTCACACTGGCCTAAGATGGTCGAAACCCCACAACTGCCGAGGGGGTGGGAAGGCCAAAGGCCGTCCCCCGGGGTCGTGGGCCGCGCGGATTTTTCTCCGAAAGCAATGGGTCCACCCAAGAGAGGAGAAGGGGTATCAGGTTGTTAGCCGGCCCAGTCGCAAGGGCTGCTTCGCGAGCAGACGTACCGAGTCGACAAGAGGGAAGGCAGGGTTAGCGTTAGCGTTGCCTGGGAGGCCAGGACTTCCGAATTTGTGCTGCCACACCAAAGCGATGTGTGGCCTGCCTGGACGGCCAGGGCTTCCGAGTTTCGTGTTACCACACCGAGGCTGCCGGGATACCCCGACAGAAGTTCCGAGGTGTGGGTCGTGGGTTTGGGGGTCAAAGCCATCCCCCCGAGGGAGGAGGTAAAGACACCCCTTCTAGTTGGGGTTGCCTGGGGGTTGCCCAGGACTTACAGTAGCCGTTGCCTAGGAGCCATAAAAAACTTAACTCCTAGGTCTTACATGCCGAAAGGCGATCGTGGGTCCCTAAAAAGGGCGTCTGGAACATCCGCAAAAAGGAATGAAAGGCTATCGGAATCGTGTTCGTGTCTGTACTGGGCGGTGTCGATAAAGAAGGTATGGACTCGGGCCTCAAGAGGCTCCTCAAACCGCGAACTGTAGTCCCAGCCGTCTGCCAAAGCAAAAAAGAATGTGGTTCCAGAAAAGGGTCCTTGAAAAAGGAGGGCAGTGGTGCTCTCAAAGAGCTCGTATCATGGGTGGCGTATCAATAGCCGAAACAAAAGAAAGCGAGCCCAAGGGGTGTCGAATAGGGAGCAAAACACCTAAGAATTATCTCTTGTAACCGAGGGTAAGAATAAAGACTTTGAAGCCATCGTGAAATCGCTCAAAGGGCGTTGATTGGGTGATCCCCCCTATAACCCCTGTATAAAAGTGGGAGTGCTCGATGGCTTTCCCGGAGTTGGATGGTGGTCTGACCAGGCACACTTGTGTGGGATAAGTGTAGTCGTGACCCGCTCACTATACCGGGGGATTGGAAGGGTAGACTTGACCCCGGATAGATACGGCGTAACGCCGCCGATAGGCGATAAAGGGAACACACGAGAAAGCTAAGCCCAATAGAAGTGAAGTGATGATTAAATTGACCGTTGAAGGAAGGTGTGGTTGCCCTTGTCTAACTAAGGAAACACGAAGGTGCGTTATAAGCAGAAAACTCTGCATGCCAAGCTATCTACTAGTGGGCAAGTCACAGTGGGAGAAAATGTCCCATGAGACCACCAAACTACCCTATGATATCGCCCTAGTCCACACCAGCACTTGTGGTTGTCGAGGCATACGTACACACTAGAGGAAGGACGCGTACGCTTGGGATGTTTGTCTACCCCCTATTTAGTTCGTTCTTGTTTTCTCTCTTTCCCCTGAACAACCATCATGGCTATTACTGCAACATCATCTCTTTACGTCTTTCCTTGTCTTCACTTTATCTCTATCAAGTCTAGTTATCATTTCCTCTAAGTACAAATATCGTGTCTCCACAATAGCCAACTCCACTTCCCTGCATAAACCTCCGTTATCAATCATTACCTTTACGGTATATTTCCAACATTTTCAACACTGGTTGCCGGGAAAGGATATCGGTACGAAGAGGATTGCAACCACTTCCATATTTTCGCGAGGCAGTTTATTGATCATGGGCAGTGCAGAAGAGAAAGAGCGAGTGCTGACATACGATTTGTGAGGTCTCAGCCAAAGGTATTGTGCGTGGACAAAATTAACCGAAATCGCCGGCCAGGGTGGCAACCATCGTTTCCGGACACCCTCACACAACAAACCCCCCCACAAAAATCATTTCCACCCAACTGATCCCTCATAATACCTTCTCTTTTTTTATTCTAAGAAATAATGGCTCCTATTCTTCACAGCCACCCTCAAAAAAACCTATTCCTTCTAAGCATCTCAGTCAATGGACAAGAGGGAGAGTGTGTGGCTTGCATGAAGGGGGCATGCCCTTGACAGACATTTCCCACCAACTCAACATCCCTCTTACTACTGTTCATGACACAGTTGAAAAGGGAGATCAAGAGGGGGAGGAGAAAGAGGGCAGAGGAAGACATCCTAAGACTTCTAAGGCTCAGGATGAAGCTATAGTTGAGGAAGCCCTCAAAAATCGCCATAACAGCTATCAAGACATTGCCAAGAAAATTGCACCAGATGTCTCTGAGAAGACTATAAAGTGCAGACTCTCTGGAAAAAATCTTAAAAAATGGGTGGCACAAGAGAGGGTACATCTTGATGAGAGTCTTGCTGAGAAGAGATTGAAATGGGCATTTGCTCATAGGCATTGGACAAAAAATATGTGGAGAAGGAAGACAATGTGGGAAGATGAGGTGACTATTGAGAGAGGAGGAGGGAGAAGGAGAAAGTGGATATTTAGATATCCTAAAGAGAAGTGGAATAAGGACTGTGTTGAGGAAACTCCTAGGAGGGGAGAGAGAAAGGTTAGTCAAATGATGACTGGGTTTTTTTATGGCCAAAAGTATGGTTGTTTCCTTCCTGTTTTTCCTGATCCTTCTTCTGCTGGTGGTGGGATTACTGCAAAGTCAATTATTGAGGTTTATGATCAATATGACTTTGTAGACATATGGGAGGATATTAAGAAAGAGTCTGAAGAGGAGGAGGTCTTTTTAATCATTGACAATGCTAAAACTCACTTGCCCTTCATGAGATGGCTCAGAGAGCATGGAATTACACTGCTGGAAATTCCCCCCTATTCACCAGATCTCAATCCAATTGAAAATATCTGGTCTCTGATTAAGGATAAGCTTTCTAAGCACTATCCTGATCTTCATCTCATGAAGGGCCCTGAGCATGTGGTCAAAAAGACAATTGAAGAGGCAATCACTCATTGTTGGGAACTTCTTGATTCAAAGGTTTTTGATACTCTGGCAGGATCTATGGTGGATAGGATAGAAGCAATTATTAAGGCTGATGGATGGTATACTAAGTACTGATTACTGCTATGTATTTCTTTTATTTTTT